CTCCTCTCTCTTTGTCCCGCCTATACTTCCTGCCTGGTCACTGGCCATCAGTGTTTTATTTACATAGAGTAATATCCACAGCACTCCCACTGCCCTCCTTCACACATCTCCTCCTTTAACCCAGTGTCATTTTCCTGTCCTCACATCACTTCTGGGATGCCATATTTCATTTTGTCATCTTTGGGCCCCTTTTGGGTGACAGTTTCTCAGGTTTTCCTTGGTTTGTTGACTTTGACAGTTTTGAGGAGAAATGGTCAGGTACTTTGCAAAATGCCTCTCTGACAGATAGTCTGATACATGCCTAGACTGGGTTTTTGAGTTGGGGGAATAGATTTTTTTTTTTAATCACTACACTCCTGACTATAGTGCATGTTGGCTTGGATTTGAAATGCCTCCGTGGGCTCCTGTGAAGAAGGCTTGGTCACAGGTGGTAGTAGACCCAGTCACTGAGAGGTAGTATGACAGTGAGGACCCCGACCTAACCAGTGAATGAGTCCACTGATGGATTCATAAGTTCATGGTCCTAGTGGGAGGTGATAGGAAGTAGTGCCTAGTTGGCATAAGTAGGTCACTTTGCTGTGCCTTAGAAGGGCATTCTGTCCCTGGCCCCTTCCTCTCTGTCCTTCCACTTCCTGTCTGCTGTGAAGAGTGACACTTGGCTCCACCCCCTGCAGCCCTCCATGCTGTTCTACCTCAGCACATTCAGGCTAAGACACAGTAGAGTTGAGAGACTGAGGTCTGAAACTCTTGAAACCATGAGCCAACAGACCTCTTCCTCCTCTTCTCGGTTGATTTTTAGCATGTACTTTGTCACAGTGAAAAGTGATTTAGTACTATGACCAGTCTCATGTATCCTGAGAGTAAAAACTGCTACATTCCTCCTAGAAACAATCTTAGTAATAAGATCACCTGCGATGCAACCAACCTTGTATAGCCATTTCTAAAAAATTTGAAAAAAATGATTAGAGACCAGAGGCACTATAGGACAAGTGACAGAAATAAATGTTTGAGGGAGTTCTTTAAATTACAGTCTTTGTCCCTAGATGGTCTATTAGTGGGTTATTTTTTATCTTTTATTGTTGCATCCTAGACTTTTTAAAATGTCATCCAATGAGTACATACTGCTTTTTTCTTTTTATATTTATGGGTGTTTTGCCTGCATGAATGTCTGTGTACCACATGAGTATATGGTGCCCTGAAAAGTACTAGAGGGGTGTTAAAATCCCTGGAACTGGAGTGACAGACCACTGTGAGCTGCCATATGGGTGCTAAGAATTGAACCCAGGTCCTCTGGAAGAGCAAATAGTGCTCTTAACCACCAAGCCATTTCTCCGACCTTGAACTCATAAGCTTTTATCATCATAGAAAGCAATGTCTTTTTTTTTTTGTTTTTAAAGGAAAAAAATCAGTAATGTTAGGATGTATTTTAGCGCTAACCATGCTTTGCTGCCACGGTTCAGACTGGTTTCAAGACAATCTTCTACATTCAAGATTTTCCCACACTCTCTACCTCAGTTGCCTAGAGATCTGGACTTAAGCTTTCTCTATGACCCTCAAGGCCAAGAGTCTTGTTACTAGTTGTCACCAACTGGCATTAGAAATGTCTCTTCCTTATGTTTACCTGGCTTATATGCTCATATCAGTAGCTTTCTTCTTTGGTTTTGTTTCTATTTGTGTTTGTTCTAATCTCTCTCTATCTCTCTTATTCCCTAGAATCCAGCCCAAGGTTCTCATTCTGACAGTCCTCCCATTATTCAGTCAACCGGGGTTTCCACCATTTCCTTATGGTTGTTTGAGAATTTTTTTAATAGCCAGTTCAGATCTAATACATCTTTGCTTTTTTCTCTTCCTCTCAAAAAGGACCTCATCTGTGTTGAATGAATGTATAAACAGTACCCTTTCAATATAATAGCAGTAATTTTGAACCATCACCATGAACATAATCCCTCATATCTTCCTCTAAACCAGTCCTGACCAACCCCACCCTCATTCCTAACCATCCCCCTGCAGTCCTGACCAACCCCCTGCAGTCCTGACCACACCCCTGCAGTCTTGACCACGCCCCTGTCTTGCTTTTCAGCTGTTCCTTCCCACTCATAACCAGTCGTCATCTGACTCTGCTTCTTCCCTCATTCTCTCGTACTGATTGGCTCTACGGGCCTGTGTTGGTTCTGATCTCTAGGTTCTGTTTCCACACTGGTTTATGTGCTCTCACAATGTCTCCTGTTATTGCCAGCCTGCCTCAGGCTCAACCAGCACTGATTAAAACGTTTCCAAAATCTGACGTAAGTTTCCAGGATCTCACACAAGTAAAAGACCTAGGATTGTAAGCAGTATTGTCATTGTCCCCTAGGAGATCAGAGTCAAGCTCGTCATGCTTTTTAAGCCTCAGTTTATGAGATGGTTATTATTATCAACTTGATAGAATCTAGAATGACCCGGGAGACGGGCCTCTGTGCATTTCTGTGCTGGGTTTTCTTGATTGCATTGACTGGGGGTAGGAAAGCCTACCTACTGTGGGTGACATCTCTTTCTGGATGGGATCCAGAATAGTCTCAATGTAAAAAAGTAAGTGTATGCACTCACTGTGCCCTTCTCCCTGACTGTGGACATAATGTGACCAGTTCAAGTCCCTCAATGCCCTCCATGTTGAACTTTGAACTTTCTTATGTTGCTTTTGTTAGGATATTTTTACCACAGCAATAAGAAAAGAAATGATGCTGGGTGGTGGTGGCACACACCTTTAATCCCAGCACTCAAGAGGCAGAGCCAGGTGGATCTCTATAAGTTTGAGGCCAGCCTGGTCTACAGAGAGAGTTCCAGGACAGCCAAGGCTACACAGAGAAACTTGGTCTCGAAAAACCAAACCAAAACAGAACAAAAAAAGTTTTTTTAAAAAAAGAAACTATGACAGTTTATCATCTGTTGAAAAGAGATAATAGCTTAAAAGGAGGCTGGAAAAAAATCAAAAGAAATAACACATATAAAAAAGAAGGAAAATAAAGTTAACCTTTCCACTATTGTTATCCTCATTTAACCTTTTCTCCCTCAAAGAGTTCATAGTCCTTAAACCATGTCATTTTTAATGGCGTCTTTATTTTTATAAATATGTGAGCATTTGCACTACTTATGTTTACAGTGCCCAAGGAGGCCAGAAGATGGCATCCGATCCTTTAGACCTGCAGTTACAGGTAGTTGTGAGCCACCATCTGCGTGCAGAGAACTGAACCCAGGTCCTCTGCAAGAGCAGCAACTGCTGTTAACCACTGAGTCATCGCTCCGGTCCAACTATCCCATTCTCATGTGTCTTCCAGAGTATTCCACGCTGTGTTTCCAGCCCAGCACACTGATATGGAAGTCTACATGGGCTTGCGGACTTGTTTTCAGCAAACAGAATATAGCAGAAGTAAGAAAAGGCCAGTTTCAAAACTCAGGATAATTTGAACAGTTCCTCTGGCATCCTGTCCAGCCATGATTTGAGCAAGCTCATGTGATTCTGCAGGGTAGAGAAAGCCATATGGCCTAGTAGTTCCTATCTCTCCAGCCAATAGGCCACTAATAATCACCCATCTGAATCTGTCCCTAACTGCTGACCCATAGCGTCATGATCTAAGTACCTGCTTGTTGCTTTAAGCCATCACATGTGAGGACAGTTTGTAAGCAGTAAACTCTCAACTGATGCTGTGACAGAGATCATTTACAAGTCTGAAAAATAATCATTCCACCAAAGGAACTAATCATTTGAGGGTCATGAATATTAGATAGATAGGAGACATAATCAGAATCTTTTTAGGAGAATCCTTTGGAATGTACTACTTCATTGTACATAGAAGCAAAACATCTTATTTTCATTTTTTAAAAATTAGTTCATTTGAATGGATTAAAAGCAATCAGCAGCAGCTGGTATTCTTGCAATGCTAGCTGGCTGTAAGATGCTAAAACCACATCCTGGTGGGTTCCATTCTCAGACCCTCATACACACCATGGAACTCTGGATAGGCCTTGTTTTCTCTGTTCAGAAAGCTTGGCATTCAAAAACTGGGAATCTTGCAGGAACCTACTTCTAAATCATGGTTCCAAGGACCACAACTCTAAGCCTACCTGAACTGAATGAGAGCCGGAGAAGAGATGTAAAAGGAGAGAGAGCAGTGTTAAGAAAACAGGCCTTAGGAACTAGTGTGGGTGGCACATACCTGCAATCCCAGCACTTGGAAGGTAGAGTCAGAGAATTAATTCAAGGGCATCCTCTACTATGTAGCAAAATTCATGATCAGATTAAACTATAGAACCTGATCAAGAGAAGAGGAAGGGAAAGGAGGGGAGGAGAGGGGAACAGGAGAAGAGAGGAGAGGAGAAAGAGAAAAGAGAAGAGAAGAGAAGAGAAGAGAAGAGAAGAGAAGAGAAGAGAAGAGAAGAGAAGAGAAGAGAAGAGAAGAGAAGAGAAGAGAGGGGA